CACATGGTGCGGCAGACCTTTTCTGACCTGCCCACTGCTCCCCTCAGCAGTGTACTTTCTCGATCTACCTGTTCTGCTCCCGGTTTTGTCTCTGGTGAATCTTACCCTCCGCATCTCTGGCCTGTACTCCAGTTCTATATGAATAAATAAAGAAATCTTTAAAAAATATATTTATTTATTTTGTAGAAGAACTGGGGTGTAGGCCAGAGGTATTGGGGTGAGAGGATTCACCAGAGACAGAGTGGGGAGCAGAACAGGTGGGACCACTGAAACACACTACTAATGGGAGCAGGGGGTGAGACAGGAGAGGTCTGCTGCTCCACATGTGAGTCAGCTCCCTGGCTGGGGATAGAACTCAGGCTGTGGCGGTGATAAAACTGAGACTAGGTCATCGGGGAGGCCTTACAGAGGCCCAAGGTGTTTTGTACTTAGGATACAGCAATGGAACAAATGCCAGCCCTCGTGGAGTTCACATTTTAGAAGAGTAAACAGACAAAGTAAACAAGCAAATGTAAATAGAGTTGTGCATCATAACATCACAGATATATAAATATATAACAAATTATCCCATTTCATTGTCGTTTCCCCTTTCGTTGGCTGTCTGTCCCCCATGGGTTCCATGGTACACTGCGTGGCTCTGAGACTCAGAGCAGAAGCCTAGTGACTCAGGCACAGGCCTTTCCTTTTCCTCCCTTATCTTGGGAATTTGTCTTATTTTGATCACATTCAAGACATAACTTAACCTTTAACTAATCCTCTGCAAAGGGTCTGTGGCACACATTTGGAGTTATTAACACCAGTGCCATGCTTACTTCATTCACGACATGCATGCATTTCTAGATCACCAGGTCCTTTATGTAGGTGGGGCAGCTCTACCTAGAGAGACCTTTAATGAACTGTCAGGTGCCCTCTCTCCTGTCCTGGTTTCCTAGGCCTTCAGGGGTGCTCGAGGAGTGGCCCTCCAAAGACACTGCATCAAAGATCATGCGACTACAAGGTGAATTCAGGAGTGGGGTCATCAGTAGACCCCCAACATCAGGCATCAAACGACCTGTAAGAATTTGATACCACTTCACCCATAAGGACAGACATAAGAAGAAAGAAAACAAGAGTTGGCCAGGATGTGGGGAAAGCAGAACCCTTGTGCACCACGGGTGGGAATATCAAAAGTATAGTCACTGTGGAAAGCCGTATGTAGTTACTAAAAATGAAACAGAATTACCACTTAATCCAGAAATTCCACTTCTGAGTCTATAGCCCAAAGGATTTTAAACAAGGACCCTGAAGAGAGATTTGCACACCTGTGTACATAATAGCCAAAATGTGAAAGCAACCCAAACATCCATTAATAGATGAATGGATAAACAAAATGCTGTCCATAAAAATCAATTGATTATCATTCAGTCTTACAAAAAGAAACTCTAAAATATCTACAACATGGATGAACTTGGCCTATTTTAGGCTTAATGAAAAAAGTAAATCAAAAAAAGACAAGTATTATATGCTTTCCTTTCTGTGAGGCATCTATAGTAGTAAATGTTAGAGAAAGAAGCAGAGTGAAGATTGCCAGGGCTTGGAGGTAAGGGGTCCTGGAGGGTTACTGTTTAATAGGTACAGAATTTCAGTCTTGTCAGATGAAAAGAATTCTGTGGCTGGATGTAGCCATTGCTATACCACAGTGAGAACATACTTCATGTCACTGAACTGCACATTTAAAAATTATTTTTAAGATGGTAAATTTTCTGTTATGTGATTATGCTGCGATTACAAAACTGTAATTGGTAGGTGGTCCAGTTTATGGCAATTGCCATAAACCTGACTCTGCCACTGTCCAGCTATAAGCTCTGAGTCCAGAATGATGAGCTCAGATCCTCAGTTTCCCCAGTAAGGATGTGCAATGAAATGAGAATAAGGACAATAGCTATCAAAGCATTTTGAGGATTAAATGACAGTAATTTTTATCAAGTATAAATAAAATTCCAAGAACATATCTGACATAAATTAGAACTAATGATGATTCAATGAAACCATATTGCTTTTGTTGACTGTTATCATTAATATTGTTAACTTAGTTCAGAATTGAACATCAGCCTAGAGCAACCAGTAGCAGCGCATGTAACTAAAGTGAGTGCCTTTCAGTAACTACTTATTTAAACCCAGAGCAGAAATCTATGAGTCTGACCTGGGGGTAAGCTATTTCTAGTTACTGAAAACTCTGATTTTCATTTTGTTCCGAAGCTTTTTTTAAATGACAGAGCAATGTAAATTTGAATAGAAGTGCTTATCATATTAAAATAATGAATGGTGTTTCCACTATTATAAGGAAACTTCTTTAACTCACCTGTCTGCTTCAACATTATGCTTTTTTTTTTATGAGCTCCTCATGATTTCTGCCTAATAGCCAGTATGGGTATGAAAAAGCAAAGCTAAATGCTTTGCTTGAAAATAAGATGCTCAAAGATTTAAAATGAACAGCAGAAAGAATAAAGAATAAATTTAATGTTACATATGTCATGACAAGGCTAATATCCCTACTTTAATAAATGATTTAATTTTTACATAAAAGTGGAACCATATATTTATATATAAATTCTCTGGGTTTTCATCATAGACATTTTTTTTTTATTTTAAGTGATCTGTGGAAATTACAAAGAAATAAAATATTTTAAAGGAAATCTCAAATCAAACATACTTTTATTATAAACAAATATTTTAAGGAGCAAACAACATAATCAGTTAACTCTAAAACATGAAATGCATTAAGAACAGGAAATACTAATGGTTGATTCTAGTTTAAAGAAACGCAAACGTTGTAACATTAAATACTGCATGGTAAGGAGATTTGTGGAGCTCTCCTCCCGAAAGCCAGGGACAGATTTGGACCATAAACCCACACTCTCAAGAGAAAATCCTGTATAGGGAATTTTAGATAAAACATCAAATTCATTATAAGGAAGAATTATATCTCTTCAACAGAAGAGAGAGATGACATTACAACAGAACGAGGGACCTTTACAGAAATATCAAAGACAAATGGTATTTTCAAGAGGCCCTCCTGTGTATTAATGTTGAAAGGGTCTTTGGAAATGATTGTTAAGAGTCAAGGTGTAAATAATAGAACAATAAACCTGCATACCTGAAAGCGAGGTGAGACACCAGACAGAAATCAAAGCTGCAGTGGTTGACCATGTACATTCAAAGTAGACCAGATAACGGAGTTTCTGTTGTCAGGAGTTTATGTCTCCTAGAAAGGCTGAGGTTGCCCGAAATTGTAGGCAATCCTAAGTCACCATAGCATAAAGGCCATGGCGGAAGTGAAGATGACAAAACAGAGGTAGTGACAAGAGTCCTCCCTGGAAGTTTACGTTTTAAAGGCTTACAAGAAAGTCACAGGAGGCTGAAACAAAGGCTGCTGATGACAAACAGGTTACTCTTGAAATCAGAGCTAAAAGTTTGCGAGGAGGGGGGAAGAATGAAAAAAGAAAAAAACATACTCCAACAAAACAATGTAATTGCTCACTGGAAGGGGTTGCACAGCTGAGGTTTTGAATGCTTTAGAAGCTCTTCCTAGGCTTGCTGTGTCTTTAAATGTATGTACGTTCCATCAGCAGAAGAAAGCAGCTAGCAAGAGCAGACACCTGCATCAAACAAAGGCTATGATCTTGGAGGGATTTTGAACAGCTGTGCATAAACTTCAAAAGTAATTTGCAACCAAATTAGTAAATGTCATCCTCCTTCCCACTAGACACAGCATTTTTAAAGAGCTTAGACATCCGCAGTAAGCCTGCCATTTTACAGGTTACCAAAGACAAGTTAGAGGAAAACGGAAATGGGACTCACAAGGTAGCTTGTGGAGTGGAGTTTGGGGCACCCAGAACCTTAGAAATAGGACTCATCTCTCAAACATCCCTGGCCAGCAGAGGACCCGTGGTCATCATAGCTTCCAGAGAAAAGTAGTAGAGGCCACAGTCAAATAGAGCTGCCTGGTTGCAATTACTTTTGTTCATAAAGGTCACCTGGCATTTGAAGGAGGACCTCTCCTACTTGGGGATGGCTCGCTGTCCCCCTGACAGGGAGAGAACAGGGAGTTCTCATTCATCTCCCCTGTCACCACTCTCCCCTCGTCAGCTGTGACATTACCGAAAATCTTTTATTAGTACCACTCTGAGTAGGGCCACCCGAAGGACAAGGAGCAGCAGCAGCAGGCAGCAGAAATCGACGGCGATCCCAGCATTGCCAACTTTTGGCCTTCCTTTCTCTTGTGCCGATGGGGGCATGCTTATGGGGCCCGAGCCTTTAATACGGGTTGTCTTATTTCACATAGATGATTGGGGCTCTTGAAAACCCGATAAAAAACGATCTTTAACCCTGCTTACAAGTGGCCCTCGGTGCGGAGCAGTCTCACTCAAGGTCACAGAATTGAGACCACTTTTCTTTTTTCCCTCACCGAGAGATCTGCCTTACCCTCCCCCTGCGCAACCTGCAAGCCAGAACCCAGAAACTGTGTTTAGAAGTGAGCCTGTTGGCAGCCCTGCTGCTGCTCTAGCAGATTCCAAGAAAACAAGTTATTCTCCTCCGTGAACAGGTTGCCATTTGCGTAAAACATCTCCTGACAAATGTCTGCCAAGAACATAAAACTTTCCACCTTCGTCCTTCCCTCTCCCACTCCTATTAGTTTACGCGAGAGGATCAAACAAACAAATAAGCAAACCACGCAGGCAGAAGGAGGCGCCCGGCAGCACCCAGACCGGGCAGCGCACCCCTGTCCCAGGTCCGCAGAATCCTGCGCAACCCGCGAGCCAGAACCCAGGGTGAGCCAACCACCCGAAGTTTGCTGTGCTCCGGGCTCTTTTCGATTTCGCCCTCATCTCACTCCTCCCTTCCCCGAACATTTTACCTCGGGAGCGGACTGAGCCGCCCCCGCCGCGACCCGTCGCTGGGGACCCGGTGCGGGCTTCCTTGCCCTCCCTCGTCGGCGCGGATCGCGCGGTGGGCCCTACCTGCCGGCGGGCTGCGGCTCCCGGG